CAAAGTTAAATGCATGAGGAATGTAACAAGAAAGCAGAGATTTGCTCTTGCTGGTTATGCATGGTGGGAAGACATGGGGTTATAAGTGGAAATGAGAGGTTCAGAACTGATACAAAGAARAACAACTTCACCATAAGGATGCTCCAGCACTCATCAGGTTGCCCGCAGACATTATGCTCTCCCTGTCTTTTGTGTAAACCCCTTAGTCTGATCTCAGGTTTGATCCTAGCTAGAGATGTTCTGAGAATCTTTTCAGCCAGAATTATCCTAAGATGTATAAAATCAGAGAGGGCTAATAACACCCCTTGTTATTGCCCAGGATGGCACTGGCTTTCTTTTCTGCCAGGACTCARYGCTCATGCTCAGTTKGGTGTTTGAATTCCCAGGACTTTTYCAGCAGAGTTAGTCCCCAGCCAGGCCCCATCACAGTGGTTCTTTTCTTCCCTAGTGCAKGGCTTTGCATTTATTCTTGTCAAATTTCATAAGGTTCCTGTCAGAGCTTTTGTCCAGCATGTCTAGGTCCCTTGGGATGGCAGTCCTACCTTTGGAAGGGGCTAATTAGTTCTCTCACTCCAGACTTCAAGAACGAGTGCTGTGCCCTCCAGGTCACTGATAAAAAGGTAAGGACAGATGCTTTATCCTTAAAGATGTAAAGATATATTCCTGGGTAATAACACTTGTTATTGGCATTCAGATAAAGTACAGCCCATTAGCCATTCCCCTCTTAGCCCAACCATCCAACCAGTTTCCCACGTTTCTAATTTGAACCAATCCAGTTTGTTTTGTCCCAGCTTGGGCAGGACAATGTGGTAGTAAGCATGGAAAGTCTTGCAAAAGCCAAGATGAGTGCCATCCTTTTCTTCTCTCATGCATATATTCAGTCAGTTCATCACAGAGGACAGTCAGATTGATCAGGCTAGATTTCYCCTCAGTAAATTCATGGAGATTGTTCCCACACATCCTGCTGTCCTTCATATGACTCAAAATGTATTCCAAGAGGAGCCAGCCTAGGATTCTCCCAGGGGCAGAAGCAAGACTGACTGATCTGTAGCACTTGGATAATCAAGCAAATAGTCTTGTAAGCCAGTGTTAATTCAACAGCTGTGAATTTAAATGCTTTCAGTCTTAAATCTTAATTGCAGCAATGAAAGAATAGTTAAAAATTTGGTTAGAGTATCTGGTATACTGGATAATACTTAATTCTATTAATTCCACTTAATTCTATTTTCTCCACAAAACTCTTTGCATAGTGTGAAAATGTTCTAAGTTAGATGAATCAAGTTTTGAGAAGATAAATTTTTTCTTTATCAAATTTGGTGAACTACATTTGATTCTTATAACCATATATTTTGAAATAGATTTTCTTTATAWGTAGCTTGCTGTAACCTCAGCTGATTTSAMATAGAGTCAGACTGYTTTTCAGYAGTTTGTATCTGTGACGTTGTACTGACATGYCACCACTGAAGTCAGATTTGTAAGCCTGAACCCTGTTTCTTTCAAAACTATTAATATAYTGTAACTGCAGATGACTGATATTGTTGCTATATAGTGAAAGAAAATAAAACATATGGGAAACTGAGAATTATTTTTGCCGTTGGGATTCTTGAGCTTCATGCTTTATTCTTTCATGAATCATTTAAAAATATAGGGCCCCGAGTTCATCATCGTTTTATTAAATGAGCAACCTAAAGTCATGCTTAGCAACAAAATACATTTAAATATCCAAACACAGATCTAAGTATATAGTATAATAAATTTAATATTTAAAATTCTGGCTGTGGCTTCTAGACATCTGTTATTTTCTTTGCTGTGAGGGAGTAAGCTGTTAAGAGACAAACTTTRTGCATATTTTAATCTGGTAGGAGCTTGATTAAAGGAGGGGAGGACAGGAGCATACACAGTTTGGGCAGCATCCTGCTTCTGGAACAGGATGATGGAGCTTTGTATTGAAACCAGAACAAAGATCTTACGCGAATGTGCTGTGCCCGAAYGCTGCCATTGAGCTCAGTGCTGAGGAAGCTCTTAGCCATAACCCATAATCCAGCTATCCCCATCCTCTACCTATTCTCATAATGGCACATAATATAGCAATGTTTCTAAAATTAGGCATGTGGATAGCAATATCTTCAGTATTTTCCAGTGGAAAAAAAGAATCTTAAAGTTTGACATCTTTTACATTGATTTTTCACAGCTCAGCTGCGCTGAGTTGGCTTTTGCCTGTGTGAGGGTTGCTGCTTTCCTAAGGCAAACAAAATGTTAAATGAAAGGGGTTAAGTTTTCGTCCTATGTCACAAGACCTCCAAATTTCTCTTTGGAGTTTTAAAGCTACAAATGTCAATGGATTTGCCATTCCAAACTGTAAATGAACTTGTGGGACCTTTTCCATTTCAACAGGAACGGAAGTTGGCCCCAGTTCTAATATGCAGCAGRAGAGAATGGTAACGGCCTAAGTTAAGTGAATATATGGAAGTTATGCACAACATTAAAAAAAAAAGAAAAGTATTTGTAATTGTGGATATATATTTTTGGTAGCAATTTTCATGTTTTATATGACCTTGTGTAACTGAAAGTGCTTGAAAGCAATTTTTAAGGCAATATGATGATTCAAAACCAGCTYCCTCTCTCCATACCACAAGATCAAACATTTTATTGCGAGGCCTATAAAAATTTGGTGTTGTACTGGAATGATTTACCACAATTAACTGACTGATCATGGTAGTTCAGTGTTTTGATCCATATTTAATAACTTGAGGCTCAAATATAGAGGGACTGAATTCCTTCCTTGGGAGAAAAAGAATCTCTTGAAAACAGTGTTTTAAAGGGAAAGTGATACATTAGACACAGGGAACTAAAGGCAAGTACTCGCATGTGAAGCTGGTGTTTGGAAATATATATATATATAAGGTTGACTGCTGGTTGTGAATTTAAAGGCTAATATGTATGATGCTACAGCTCTGAGACCATATTTTCCCAAAGTTACAGAAAAGTTGTTGTTTCTTTTGTTTTTGTGTGACTATGAAGAGAATTAAATGGATTGTTTTCAGTGGATTGTGAGTTTACTAATGACCATCAAAACTATATCAAACTGAAATTTTAGTTATGAGTATATGGTATGAATATGTACTTATTGCATTATATAACATGAAGTTGTATTTTACTTTTGCACTGGAAGCTCATCTAAATATTCAAACTTTTGTTAAACAAAAAGTTGGAGTGTCAATGAGTTTTGGAAATGCCCTAATTCAGAACACCTAAATGTGTTTTATGGCTTTGTGGAGAAGCTAATTTATAGAAAGCAGATACCATTTATGCTGAGGAAATCACGATCAGTRCACTAGGTGAATTAAGGAATTCCCATTCCCCTTTAAGAAACCTAAAATCTCTATAAACAAAATCAGGCTGGGAAAGGTTTTGCATGGTTCCTAAAATAAAGAGGATTCCAAGAATTTTTAGCATCTGAGTCTTATGAAAATTGAGCCCTTTAAATGCAGATTTTAGAAAGGAAGAATGGATAAAAATACAAAAGAAACAAAAAGCTTGTATTTCTTTTGTATTTTCAAACTTCTATGGATTTATTACATAAAATTATTAGCAGTGTTCTAAATCTCATCTACATTGCCTAAAACATTCTTCAAAGCCAAAGTCTTTTAGAGCCATATATCAACAAAGTGAATATAAATAGAAATTAATGTCATAATTAAACAAAAAATAAGGTTCCCAGCTGAAGTTCTGAGGCTTATCTGACTACTCAAGACTTGGTGAAGATGGCAGTTTGACAATGTTGGTAGTGCTTAGAATCTCTCATTAAACAGACTGGGAACCTGCCAATGAAACTTTGATCAGCTCCCTACTTCTGTGTCTCGCTAAATGGTAGGCACTGCAACAAAAGCATTCATTTCCATGCCACTGCTACTCTCGTCTCTCTTTTTTTTTTTCTCTTTCCGAGTAAATCTGTAGATTCTTACAGGCCCTAGCTGGGCTGTTGCTGTCCTCAGACAGCTTCCGAAACAGGTGCCGGCGGAGAGCGGGGGCCCAGGGCAGCGTTCCGCGGAGCGAGGTTCGCCAAGGTCCCTCGGGCGGATGGAGGCTGGCGAGCAGGGCACAGCGGACAGCTGCTGAAGCGGCTCCCGGGAGCCCAGCCGGGCATTGGGCCGGCCTTGCCGGGGGACACAGGCTGCCGAGGACCGGACGGTGCCGCGGCAGGGAGGGCGCAGCCTCTCCCGGCGCCTGGAGCGGCGGACTCCGGGGGCGCAGTGCCCGCGCACCTGCGTGGGAGCCGCTCCGCGGCCGCCCCTTCTCCCGCGCCCCGCGGCAGCCCCGGCCGGGCAGGTGCGAGCGGAGCCGCCGTGCAGGTGCCGGGGCGGGCCGTGATCGGCCCCTCCGTGCCCCCGCGGCTGCGCGGGTGCGGCCGCTGCCACAGCCCCGCTGCCTCGCAGCGAGCGGGAGGGAGGGCGATCGCAACCCCGGGCGGTCGCCGCTGGCTGGGAGACCCTGTAAACTTTGGGTAAGTGTTGCGCGGGCTTAGCGCCTCTCGGCTCCGGGGAGCGGGTGGAGAAGGGGAAGCGGAGCTTTGCGGAGCGGTGCGCGGGTCTTGCCGCACCGCCGGCTCGGCGCGGAGCGGTGCGGAGTGGGCGGGCGGCGCCCGGGGGATGCGGGCACTGGCCAACAGGTACCGCAGCTGCGCGGGGGCGGGAGGGGCTGTGCAGGGGTGTGTGTGTGTGTGTGTGCGAGAGTGAGAGTGTGTATGTGTGTGTGTGCGTGTGTGTCGCTTCTCCCCTCCCCCCTGCCGCCCGGCCGGGAAGGGGGTGGGAGATGTGCTGGTGCACCGCCGCTTAAAACCGCGCCGCCCGGAGGCGCCTGCCCGTTCCCGAGAGGAGGGCGGCTGYCGGATCCGCGCTGTGCCGCGGAGGGCGGCGAGAAGCGGGGCGGAGGGCGGCGTGACCCCGCGGGGCCGGGCCGGGCGCGCTGGGCTGCGGCAGCGGCGGCGGGGCGGGGCGGGGGGCTGGCGGCGGTGTCGCCGCCGTCGCTGGCGGTGGCCCGGCTGGATGGCCGGTCCCGCGGCTGCCGGGCTCCCTCGCATCCCAGGGCCGAGCGTTCCCTCCGCCCGCATCGCACTGCAGTAAGTTCGCGAGTCGCTGGGCGGCCGAAGTGGTCGGAGGCGCGGAACTGGGGGGGCCGTGATGCACGGCTCTGTGTCTGGGCGTAGCGGAGGGGCGAAGCTGAAAGTTGTAGCTAACCGTGCAGTGTTGAATTTGTCACGACGCATCTCTTTGGTTTCTAGTTACTGCCAATTTGCCTCGTCGACCTATATCACTTTGCTCGACCCCAGTCAATGTCCTGATGCTGCCCCTGATAGCCGGGTTCAGAACGGTGAAGTGCTGAGACATCCAGTGTAGATGGGAATACAGCGTGGGCAGGAAACAAAAGATGCAGCTGCAAACTTAGGTTTTAAAGGCTGGTCTTCTTAAACTTTACGGGTTGATGTTACTAGCTCATTCTTGTGTTTTGGGTTGGCTTTGTTTTGAGGATTTTTGTTTGTTTGTCTTTGTTTTGGTTGGTTGTTTTGTTTTTTTTTTGTGGCCCAGCGTTGTTCCGATTCTTTTTTAAGAACAGTTTTGTCGGAAGTGAATGTAATTACATTTTTCATTGTGAGTGTCCTGTTTTGGAGATGGATTAAAGGTTTTCCCATCAGATTACTATATCATAAGTATTATTTTTCTGTAGGTAAACAAGCAGATTGTAGRGTCTTCTGTTCTTCATTGTTTTGCTACAGATTTAGGGAGAACTTTATTACTTTTCTAAGGCAGTTTCATCTGGTTGATGTAAGTTTAGAAAAAAATGGAAAACTGTTAAAATACGATCATAAAATAAAAAGGGCAATGCAACAGGATGGGGAGAACCATTAATTGTAGGAGGAGAAGTAGTCTTTTAAGTTTTTATAAAAGCTAYTCGACATTTCCTATTCCCATTTAGGTTAAATGACCTAAAGTAGCCAGGTAATAGTTTTTCTTTGCACTTGAATGGTATGATGCACATAGTCATATGTGCAGACAGTCATTATGCATCCGGAAAAAAAAAATCCATACCAAGAACCTAATATGCATTCCCAAATGACTGGACTTCATGCTATGCTTTATGGATAAAAGGACAGGAAATAAGTCCCTTGWTTCTCCCCAAAGTGGCAATCCACTGTAGCTCAGAGCCTGAAATGTCTCTGGTACAGAAGGAAAACAAGCGTCAAGAAACATGGGGCATCACAAAGCAGCASTTCCCTCCAGGGGCTTCTCTTGTCTCTCGTTCATTTGTCAAGGTAGAAGGACTCGGTTGTTTACCATGGCAGAGAAGGCCTGGAAAAATTAATCAACAATCTGAAATGTTTGTGTAGTGATATGCTTTATGCTGTGGATTTGAAATAATTAGGTTCAGTTTTGTTAATCTAATTTAAGGACGCCCAGACATCAGAAGTTGATGTTTTTCACCAAGTTTAGGAAAAAATCCCCTTTCTTACTTTTTTTTTTTTTTTTTTTTAAGGAAGAAGAAATATATATGAATTGTTATATACCATCTGACATAATCTTTGCTAAACACCTATAGGTGTCTTGAACAGTGTTCAGTGGCAATGCATGAATAAACAGATTTTTTAAAGAGCTCATGCAGTATGGGAATAATAAAGTTAATTGTTTTCAAGAGCACTAGATATCAGGGTTTTTTTTTAGTTTTAAGGAGGTTCTGCACTGTTTCTGCTCTGGAACTGTCATTCAGGTGGTGCTATATGATCGGTCTAGGTACCTCTTGCCTATGGAATGAGATCACTGAAAGAGGAATGAAGAAAATAAGAGTTGTAGGAAACCTGTTAGAGCAGCATTTTGACAAAGCAGAGTGTAAATAGCACATTTGGGAGTAAAGGTCATAATAGGTTAATACTGGGTAACTTCAGTCAGCTGGCTGGGTAGCTTGACTGGGTTTCTTTTGCTTTGTGTGTGCATGTCAGCAGCAATGAGGTCTTATGAATGGCACGTACAGAATGAAAGATAATAGCTTAAAGTCATGCTTTGTATTTAATGTAATGAAACCTAACAGCATATAGCATAGAATCATGGAATATCTCCAGTTTTAASTGACCCATCAGGATCATTGAGTCCAACTCCCTGTTCCTCACAGAACTACCTAAAACTAAACTGTGTGCCTGAGAGCATCATCCAGATGCTCCCTGAGTATAGATAATATATGATTCATTTGTTTTGAGTTTTTATGACCTTTATTAGATTGTTGATAAATGAAGCCTTCTGTTACAATTTTAACTAGTCTTTTGTTTATTTCTCATGTTTCCTTGGTTAAAGTTAACTTTGTTGCAAAGAGCACTTTACATGACATCTATATTCACAGTGTATCTTTTCATCCTGTGTCCTGGTGATAGTTGTGGATCCTTGTGAAAAGTGGATGTTGAAACGTTTCCACCTGTTTCTAGAATTATGAGAGAGTGGTGACGATTAGATGGGAGTGRGTTATACAAAAAATTGGTGCTGTTTTGTGGTTTGGTGTGCTGGATCAAGAAAATTTCAGCCGGACTTTCACCTGTGGAAAGGAGAAGGTACCTGTGAAAGACATTTATGTTTAGTTTAAAGTTATGATAAAGTTCTCCCAGTCAAATCTAGGAGACATTAATAGAGTGCAGTAGTGTGGAAGAGCAGGATACTGGCCTCCTGAAACCTCTGTACAGCTTGTTGCTATCAAGTAAAGTTTGCAACCTGCCTCGGGAATTCCCAACTGAGTTTTGCATTATTGTCTAAAGTGAAAGAGAAATCAAAAATAGGGACTACACCTTGCTCTGGATGTAGTTCCCAAATTTTTTTATACTTGTGCAGGATAGGTTCTAAGTCTTATTCTGATGGAATTGTAGCATTTCACAGCCAGTTCTAATCGATAGAAGCTAGCATAAAAGGTTAAAAAAAGTCTTTTTGGTGACAAGAATTCCCCATAAAGGATCTCTTGACCTTTAGTTGTAAGTTTCTTCAGTCCCGTGGAACTTACAAAATAATTAGTAACAGTAATTAGACTTTAACTAAGTCTACTTAAAGTAGATTTTAGGCAATTAGTTGTCTATAATTTCAGTTTTTCATAACAGTACTTTGTGAAWAATTTTCTCTTTGGGAACTACTTTTATAGCTAAACCAGCAAATTCACAGTATTGGAAAGCTGAAGAAGTGACGTGCTGTGTCTCACTGAGAAGAGTTTGATGTTTGTAGTTATTTTTAATACCTTGCCTAAAAGAGTGAAAAAAAATTATAAATTCTGGGCTTTGACACTGATATCTTGATTTTGTCAACCTGACCTAGTTTTCAGTATACTAATAATGCTCTYACTATGGATAGAAATTATCTGATGCAGGTATTTAGGCTAATTTAGGAAGCTGAGAAGTAAATATTTATTTGTTTAGTTGGAAATGAGATGAGTAACTGTCCCCAAACACCCTGTAAAGCAGCTTTATGCAATGTAGAACACATTTTCTTTTTTAATTGTTTCTGAAGAAAATAGAAGACTTCTCTGAATCATGTTTKTAGCAGTTTAGCCCTGCAGGGATATAGTTAGTTTGGCGCAAATTTAAAAGCTTAACAAATGTAAGTATTTGGAGACTGTTTCATTATTTCTTGTCCTACGCCTTAATACAAGTTTGGAATGTAAGTGTACAACTCTGACACTATTGTTTTGCCCGAAATGGTTTTTTAAAAAGTAAATAAAACAAATACAAGCAAAGTTGTAGACATGGTTTGTCAGTTCMGTGTTACTAATTAGCTTTCTAATTCTGGGGACCGATTAGCTTWGTATTTTTAGGTCTTTGTTGTTTACCATACTAAACCATGAATGAACCATAAAATGACCCCTAGATAAACCTTTCTTCTCTGTTAAGGATTTTAGGAGTCACTTTTTTATGCTGGCAGAAATATTTAGTTAATACAAATACCATTAATTAATTAATTATCTTTAGTTTGATTTTTCGGCCACATTTTGGTTACTTGGTTTGAAATTGTTGTGGTGTTTTTTTCCTTAGACATTCAATGAGATGTCTTGTGCTCAGCAGTTGTAATTAAAAGCTSATTCTCCAGTCCATGGTGTGGTAACAATCTCAACAGAGATGTGATGAAAATTTTTACAAAAGTTTGCGTTGGTGCATCCAAATCTGTGAGCCTTCTGAGGTGAYATGGTGCTTTGCTTGCCTTTTGGGTTGCCCTGTGGATGTCATGAAGGATTTCAGTATATTGGGAGTTCAGTCRCAGAATGAGAACTCAGTTTATAGAAGTGTCATTCTTTTCTCCTTTGTCTTTTAAAGCATATTGTGTGAAGTAAAATATACTAGTCAAATTTATTCTCTTTGGTCTGAATTTGTCCCCAGGTGGACACTTCTGTTTATACACTGGTTTGAGTTTGCAAATTACCTGAAATCAATCCCAAACACTCTTGAAGTATATGTGGCTTTTTCATGCAGTCACATGTTTGTTCTTGGTCTTAGGGAACTGATAAGCTAAATTTAAGTGAAATAGAGGAATGGCAAATAGTAAGGCAGCTGTATGTAAGGCAGCTCAGATGGTGTGCMATCAGCAAGTTTTGCTGTCTTTTCTGAAAGGAAAAGTAACATTTTCTTATAAATGTAGTCTGTAGAGATTATGGCCTAGACACAAGAACATGAACCGCTGCATCCCAAGACTCAAAGGTCTGCTGCTGGTTTTGCCTTTTTAATTGTGAATTTCCTCCTGTTTCCTGCATGAATTTATGAATTAATCGAGTTAATATTATGCCAGAAATAGGTTTTAAGAAGGGAAGAAGGAAATAAGAGAATAGAGAAAAGAAAAAGATAACATTTATAGCCAAAAAATTGATAATGAAATAGATGAAAACTGAAAAGTATGTCATTACAGGCAGGAATGAATTAAGCAAGCAAAAAGAAACAGACTATAATGCTTACCTGTAGTTGTGTTTTTGTTGTTTTTTTTTTTCAAGATTAGTCATCAATGAAAACCTTTTCCAAAATTTAAGAGAACCTAAGGTAATGAATTCTGTGAAAAGATTTTAGGTTTAGAAATGYAAAACTTGAATTAATCCCTGTTATGTAACCAGAACGTT